CTGAGAACTCTGTGAGTGCACAGCCCAACACACAGCCTGCCGGCACATTAAAAAATTGCTTGTTTCAGTCGTAAAGCCAGAGACGAGTGCAGTCGGCCGCCATGACAGGCTCTCACGCTACGCTGGTGTCCCTGCCAGGCAGCCCCACAATGCCTGTGAGTGAGGAGCTCCCATTTACTGTGACAGCAGAAATGTTCCCGGGGTGTGTTAACGGTGCCACAATGGGAGGCGACTCCTTCACTCACCATGGGGTCATTCTCTTCCAAATCGAAATTCCGGGTCGCAAATGCAGCAAAAGGCAAATCTAAGCTGGTGGTGGTGACCTGCTCCAGGGAGAGAGAGAGAGATAGAGAGAGAGAGAGTGCCAGTGAGGAGAGAGGAACCTCTCGTTAATCCATTCCTCTCCAACATACAAGATGTTTAAAGCTGTTTATATATGGGCAGTAAATGCATAATTGCCCAGACAAAAAATACATTTGAATATATACACAGTCCCCTCATGGAATTGTGGACAGTTATTGGCACCCCTGGTAAAAAGAAAATTGTAAAATGGTTAGAAAAAATCCACCTTTTGATGAAGTAGCTTCATCTAACACTGAAAAAAAATTGAAAAATTCAGCCTTTCACTGAAACAAATTTAATCAAAGAAAAACAAATCATTTATCAAGAAATAATTACTTTTAACAAAAACAGATGTGCCACAATTATTGGCACCCCAGTATTTAATAATTTGTACAACCTCCCTTTGTCAGATTAACAGCACTGAGTCTAATCCCATAACATTTCATAGAGCTGGAGAATACAGAGCAAGGCATCAGAGACCATTCCTCTTTACAGAGTCTCTCCTGATCATCCAGGGTCCTAGGTTCTCTCTTCTTCAACTGACTGGACTCCATAAAGCCATGTACCTTGACAAGGGTTCCAGGATCCTCACATCATCACAGACCCTTCATCATGTTTTACAGTTGGGATAAGGCTCTTTCCATTATAGCCATCCTTCTTTTTACACCCAACCCACCATGAATGTTTACTGCCAAAAAGCTCCATTTGTGTTTCATCAGACCATAGAACATGGTTCCAGTCAAAGTTGTAATAGTGTTTTGCAAACTTAAGGCGCTTATGTTAGTGGTTAACAGACAGGAAAGGCTTTTTTTCTGGCATGCCCTCCAAATAATCTGTTAGTATGAAGGTGGCGATGTTTTTTTTTTGGAGACTTGGTAACCCCAAGATTTTACATTGTATTGTAATTCACCAGCAGTGATCTTTGGGATTTTTTTGTCTCTCTTATGATCCTCCTCACTGTATGTGGGGGCAAAATATACTTGGGTCATCTTCCAAGTTTTGTAACAGCCCCAGATGATGTCTACTTTTTTTATTATTGGCCAAACAGTAAAAATGGGTATTTTCAGGTGAGTAGCTATTTTTTAATACCCATTCGCTGATTTATGAAAGTCTTATGAAAGAAACACTTCATGTGATGGATGACTAAGGGAATTTGGCCTCTGTCACCTCATATTTGTACCCCAGTTAATCAGGAAGTCATGGATCACAGCTTGAAGGTTCCTATACACCCCAATCAACTCAAAGACGTATAATTTATATGGGAAACATGAATCAGTTATACTGTGTTTACTATAATGTCCAGGGGTGCCAATAATTGTGGCACATGTGTTCTTGTTAAAGATGAAGAATTTGTTTTTCTTTGAATAAATTTATTTCAAATGAAAGGCTGGATTTTTCTCATTTTTTCCAGTGTGAAATGATGGTACTTCACCAAAAGGGGTGTGTATGTGTTTGTGTTTTAACTAACAATTAAAATTTTCTACTGTCATCCAAAAGGTTACTGATACCTTATTAGATGGCCAGAACACCACTGCTTTGGTTCTGAAAATTTGATAGTTATTCATAAAATTTTATGAATAATTCGATGAGGTATTTATGTCAAACATGGTTTGTTAGTGGTTGTGTCAACAAATACACTGGATGTTTTCGTTCACCAGGATGCCTTTTGCACAGTGCTGTATCATAAACCAGAGTGTGTCTACTTACAGATACATTGACAATGTTTAGGTCATATGTTTGCCATACAAAAAGTTTTGCTTTTTTGCTTTTATGTAAAGTGAGAAGTAACAGCAAAGCTTGCTTAGATGGTCTTGGCTACACTTGGGGAAAACAGTGAGTGTGTCTCCTCGAGACGGGGCCCTCTGCACAGCAGCACCATCGTCTGAGCTTAAACAGTCATTAAACACTGGCGAGTCACACAAACAAAATGTGAGCCACTGCAGTTAAGCATCAGTCCTCTGTTTATCCCTGCTGGATGCCAGTGCAGAGGTTGAGACAAGCAATCTGCCAGATGTAAATCTGATGCCTTAGTAGTGGATCCCAAACACCAGGGACAGGCTGTGGACACTAAGGGTTTAGCAGAGGGGTTGAGAAATTTCCAAAAATAAACCATATATTTTCAGTTTCTTATCACTCCTCACTTTCATGTATTCTGTTTTTTAAGTTTATGAATCACTGATCGATCTGCCTGCACGCCTTCAGCTGTTTTAGAAGCCCGTGAAAGGTTGGGATCCCCTACTTTAAAGGGACACTTTTAAGATGCATTATGGGACACTCATAGACGTGACACACTGATCTGTCTCACCTGGGTGGAAGGTTTATTAACAAAGGCGCCCACTTTCCGAGAGAACGTGGTCTCCAGAGCTTCAGAGGGGGATGAGCTCTTGGCCTCACTGCTCTGTGACAATGTCTCCGTGTCCTCGCTACTGAAGGGAGAAGAAAACCCTTTTACATGACATCTTCTGAGACCTTACAATGGCAGCAAGTACTTACAGTTGGGTACAGTGGCCCCAAGAAGTATTTTGACACTGAAGTCTACTGCTGTGGTTTCCTGTAATTTTTCTTGATTTTACTTATAATTAGCCTGTCCAATCTACATGTGGTTTATCTTTGTCTGTCACTTCTTTGTGCAAACAAATTATGCTACAGCTTGTATCAGAACCATAAACATGTTCCACTAAGCCTGACAACCAGAATAGATTTAAGTGTTTATATACATTTTTGCCTTAAATTTTGAACAGTATGTCTATTGTTTTATAATTTATAATCTGACCAATATCTTTTAAATGTTTTGCTTGAAAGCTGTGCTTAAGGTATTCATTTTTTAAAAAACGTAATTTTGTTTGACATTTTATTATGCAATAATTCTGACATTTTTAAGCATGGCTTAAGTGTTCTTGTTCTTATTCAAGGTATTAAGTGCACTTTCAATCTTCTATTTTTAAAACCAATTTGTCAAATAGGTTTTAGATTTACATAACTATGAAGTTATGAAGTCCCCAAACGTCATCACACAAAAGCCCCATCCAGGACTAAGGTCCCAGGGGATTGATCGAGCAGTTGGGATTAAGTAGTTCTTGCGGTGAATACATTTCTTGCGGTGTGCAGGTGGGCAGCTGACAAGTACCAGCAGGCCAAGAGAAGTGTGGCTTTGACAGTGTGAAGAAAAAAAAAACACAATTGCAGCCATTCACACTAGGGTTGCATGATGTTATACATGCAGAGTTCATGTGAGAGCAGCAGCAGTAAACTTTAAACTGATTTTGAAATGTATACTAGATAATCATAAAAATTTTCAAAGCAAAGCTTGCTACGTGTTACGTTCTATGACAGAGTAAAAATGTTTTGGTGGTGTAATTGCAAAGCGACAAACGCACCAGTAAACGAATATAGATGCTTGCAATGGCATAGGCCACTTGCGTACGCCATGGAATAAGCCCTGCGTAAACTCACCACAGAAGTATAAATCAGTGTTAGGAGATAGGGTCAGAAACTTGGACATTTGGGAGGAGCTCAAAGTAGAGCTGCAGCTCGTCTGCATCGACAGGAACCAGCTGAGCGGGCTCACGCCTCTATCTGGGATGCCTCTTGGATTCCTCCGTGTGGAGGTGCTAGAGGCATGCAGACTTCAGGTACCCACAGAACACCAAAGCTCCACTCCCTATCAATGGTCAATGAATAACAAAAGCGGACTCTTTCAAATTCCTGGGCGCCTCCATCTACAGTTCCTTAAAACATTCGATTCATTCGGACTACCAAGGCAAACTAGAGACTTTATTTCCTCAGGCCCCTAAATGAGTTTGATGTCAGTTGTTGCTTCCTTTTATCGTACTGCACCTCCATCACAGAGAGCATCCTAACATGCTCTATCACAGTCTGCTACAGTGGAATGGATTCTTTCAGGACTCCAATGAATTTTCACCAAGGCCTGTAAGATCTGTGGTTCTGCTCACATTCAATGCTCCACTAAACATGCCAAAAGGATTATAGAGGATCCCTCACATCCTGTGCATAAGTTTCAACTGCTTCCCTTAAGCAGGTGACTCAGATAACTAACAACCAAAATGTGCTTCAAGAACAGCTTCTTTCCCAGTGCTCTCAGACTCCTTAAGTTCCCCCCGCTTGTAGTCAAAAAACAATGCAACATTTGCATCATTTCAATGTTTCCATTCTCATCAGCAAACACCCCTGATGATCAATTTGCAAAAATTTTAAAATAGGTCATTTCAGCTGTAATGACACATTTGATTTAGGGTTCACCCTTAGGGTTTTCAGGTTTATCTATGTGTACAATAAATACTAAACCAATACAGTGGTACCTCAGAACTCAAATTTAATCTGTTCAGAACTCCAGATCGAATCCTAAAAAGTTCGAGTTGTGATCGAATTTTCCCCATAAGAAATAATGGAAAACCAATTAATTTGTTCCCGGCCCCAAAAAATTACACCTAAATATATACATATTTTTTAGCATTTAAACACAAAATGAACCGGATAAAACAAGAAGAGCATATACTGTACTAAGCACATTTATCAAAACAGTAATTTGTAAAGTAAGAAAATAAACGTATCCAAACAATATGCAAAGTTAAAAATACAATGTGTCCTGCCCCAATCGCCCGCTCCTTCCGTGTGCCACGCCCCCTAGTTAACCCCGTGTGGAATCCCTGTGTGATCAGCTGTTTCTGGTTGTTGTCATTAGTCCTCTGTATTTAGTCTGCGTTTCAGTTTGTTTCCCCAGTCCGGTCATTGTATTGTCCGTCTGCGTTTTGTCTGCCTTACCTGTAATTAAACCCCGTATTCTCAGATACCCTGACGTCTGCGCCTTTGTCTCCATTCCGTCCCCGCTTTGCATGACAATATTATAATTTAATGTATTAATGGTTTATTATTAATATTAAAATAATTAATAAGAAATCTTTATTTTTAAATGTATTTTATTATATAATAATAATTACTGTTACTGTCTATCATTGTCTAAATGTATTTTTACTGTCTAAATATTTGTATTCAGCTAGTGTAAACATGCACGATGCTATCACAGCGAATGCGAGGCTGAGACTGAAGTGTTACCCATTGTTTCCGCTGAGAGACATGACGCGTGACTCATTTCCCCGCGTGTACAAGTTATCTTAGGTTGGCGTTCACGGTTTGACTTCTGAGATTCAAATTGAGTTCTACGTCATTTTTTTTCGAACTGGCTAGTTTGACTTTTAAGAAATTCGAGTTCTAATGAGTTTGAGAACTAACTAAGGTACCACTGTATCTCATTACAGCTGAAATTACGTGTTTTCTTAACTATTAAGAAGACTTTTGAAATGGCTAGAACCGCAAAATTGCTGTACTGGACATAATTCTGTAGTTAAAAACTGCCTAACTTCTGTTAAAAGATATTAAAGCCAGAAAACTGCACATCAAATATGAGGCTAACGCCATAATTTGGCTATGGGAATTAGTGGCAATAAAATGGAAATTAGCAAAGATGCCGGTTAGCCTGTATCAGGTAACTTAAATGTAGTTGGAAAAAAAACATCTTGACTGCGCTAATAGCAATATCACTGTGTAACCAAGTGCTTGTGAGTAATTATGTGTGCGTAAAAACACCCCAAAATAAGCATCTGAATCAAAACACACTGCTTATGAGTCATATTCTATGTTGTATTATTCATACAGTTTGCTTTCTTTGCTGTATCAATATTTCCAAAATTGCCCAGCTTAACTTCCCATGGAAAATTTCTGGAAGATTTCCAGAAATTTTCCGCTCCTTTGCATCCCACCACGTGACGTATGTTATGCACTATATGCATAAAAGTCTGTCTGTATTGTAGCTGCATCAATTTCCAGCATCTAAATCTGCACAAACCACTGCATTTATCACCTACCATGCATTTACAACTCTGTGTTCTGTATCTTGTATTTATTCTCTGTCGGTTTGTGCCCTAGTTGCTATCTATTGTCAGGTGTCTTCAACTGTAGTAAGCTTTGCCAAAACAAATTTCCCCCGGCCTTGGTCATGTGGCAATAAATGTTTAATTCGAACTCTTACATCCTGATTATCCATACTGGACATGGTTACCAACTGACGTCAATGACGGAAAGGTTACGTGCTTCTCAAATACTCTGGTCTCAGAACAGCAGTACCCCCTTTTTTTACTAGCATGTCCCCAGAGATACGCACCCGCCAGAGGGTGTGGCTGAGAGACGGTGGGTGGCATCGGCAGGAGGGCAGGATGGCAGCCGGCCATGTTCGGCAAGAGCCCCGTGGCACGGCTGCAGCGGACCCTGAGGAACTCCGCCCTCCTTCCCAGGGATCACCATCTGAGGGAAGGATTAGCTATCAGCGTCACACAGCTGACTTGCCCACCTGTGATGTTCACAGCCGCTTTGACACCAGCTGTCACCCTGCAGATTGGATCACGTCAGGAGATCAAGAGCACCGTTAACGTGGACAGACGAGGCGGACTCAGAGGACTGAGCCAGGACCAAGGTGCGTGTGTCCTCAAACTTTTGCAGGACACTTAATTAAATAAAGACCACCAAATACAACAATCAGTCATGGCTCTTATGAAAACACCAGAGTAATGAACTCAAGAAGACGCAAGATAGGAGACGCAACAGAACCAGGTGACAGAGGGTTTGAGGTTCTGGGGTCCAACCTAGATGCTGGCCCTCGTTTACCTGGTGTGGGTTGGCAGCGTTTAAGGTGGCAGGGTAGCAGAGATCGGCAGGTCCGAGCACAGGGGTCTGATGCGAAAGACGAGAACTGCAGAGCTAAGAAGAGCAGAAGGACAGGGAGACAAGATGAGTGCCAGAAAGAACGAGGGAAGGAGGGAAGGAGAGGAGGAGGGAGAGGGGGCACAGGGTGAAATAAAGGACAGTAGGAAAGAACTTAAGGCGTAAAGCAGAGGCTGCAAGCACAGTGAGCAGCAGACTGGGACTTACCGTGATTTCAAGAACCTCAGCAAGCACAACCAGATTACAAAAGACTGCAAACAAATGGCTCCTATAGGGTTCACATGGATCTGAAGCCAGGGGCTAATTTTTTTTAATTTATAACTGTCTCATTATAAAACTCCTTTACAGCTGATTAAAAGCTGACCACTTCTATTTTGTTTTATCTAGATAACTGAAGACAGGTCGGAGTGGAATGCGTCGACAAACTCCAGCCTAAACTGAACATTCATCCACAAATGCAACTCACTTGTTGTGAGAAGGCCAAGCCCAGCATGGGGACCTTCAGAGTATCCATCACTGCAGGGTTAGGCGTCTTATAATGCGCCTTACTTACAGTGAACACACACTAAACATGAGACACACAGAGAGGAGGGGGTGGAAAAAAGAGAAAGAAAAGTATGACTTTTAAAAACAGAAGATGAGGCGAAAGACAAGGCCAACGTGCGGGGGGAGTGGCACACCTGCATGTTTTTTGGTACACGAAATTATCTAAAAAATTTTTATGCCATGTAGAAATAAACAAGACCACACTGATGCAACTGAAGACAGAACTGAGTTTGCTAGCTAACAGTAAATAAAAAAAAAAGCAAAAAAAAAACAAACAGATGATTTGTCAACATGTATCAGAAGCTACCCTGAATTAATGTCATTAAATCACAGTTACTGGAGGTCAGAGCCCTGCCATCTAATCCAACTCATCTACAATAGAAAGAAAGCAAATATCGCAAAGGCAGCATTCGAACAACATCATGATGAGTACAATTCCCAGATGATAAGTATAATGCCCACAAACAGGGCACAATTCTGCAAAAAGCACATTGCCCTGGCAAATCACAGTGCAGATCAGGTCCTCCGGCAGCCATGTCTTACCTGAGAGGGGGGGGAGGTGGAGAATGAGGTGGTGCACACTTCCTGGGAATCTTCCAGAACAGGATACGGCACTCCTTCCTCTTCGCCAGCAGCCCTGGGACACCGGGAGCAGAAGGATGATGTAAACATACCGACCATGTAGCAGACGTACAGGCCAAAAGGTCGCGACAAAAAAACACGCAAACACAACACAGTGCCACATGGCATGACACAGCAAACTCTTCTCTCTGACAGTGATATTTAAATGATATGCTTCAATGTTGTCTTAGTGAAGCAGGATCCCAAGCGCGCGCTTTATGCAAACAGCAACCACAGACAGCCCTCACCTGTAGTTGCAGGGGTGCATATGGCCAACATTAAAGTGATCGATGATGATTCCCATTATTGGCATCGTCCTCTCAATCTGTCTAAAGTTTCCACAAAAAAAAATACCATTGTGACAATTCCCATCACAGGAACTACCCCTACAGTAACGACACAACACTGACATCATCTAAGGTAACTACAGAAGATTAGCCAGGGATATCCCCACTGCAGGGATTACCTGAATCACAGGACTGTTCCTTCAAACAGTAAACATACATGAACTAAAACAATGATTCTTTTATTATGAACAGACCACGCAGCTGCTGCGTACAAATTGCTGTACCTGGCGGACATGAAGGCCAGGTTTGTTCTGTAAGCACATGACAAGGTGATGGTACCAGTTGGAGTGCCAACTAATCCTACTCGTACTGTCTGGAAACCTGGAGGGAGATATTCAGCACAAGATTATCGTTCCTCCCATGCCAGCAATTTCAGAAAAAATTTCAGTTCAAATACAACTACAAATGCAGACATAATGCTGGCTATAGATTAATGTGGCTACAGATAATCAACCTGAAATTAGCAAGTGAACAGAAGTAGCTTAACCTTGTTCTCATTTCATGCAGTCAAAAAAATACATGTGGAAATCATACCTTCTCCAAGTCCAGCCAGCTGCACTTCCCCAAAATATATCCTGAAAGGCAAGACAAATTTAATGCAGCAAATCCTGTCATTTTACTGTTTGCCACACCTACTAAATTGAGAATGCCATCCATCCATCCATC